AAAGAGTGGGACAGGGGAGCTGCAGCTGTGGTTCATCAGACTTGAGGCTAGTTGAGAGCTTTACCACTCATGCTCTTAATCCCTGCTGGGCGTGGAGTCAGTGACCTGGAGAAAGGTGCTGTGTCAGCAGCCTGGCCTGTCCCTGTGAGGCACCTGCGGTCTGCACCCCTGGGGGACAAGGGACTGTGGTTTCACAGGTGAGACCCTGGGACACTGGCATGTAGCTGGAGAGATGATGTACCTGGTTACTCTCAGTGTGGCATCTCTTTTGGTGTGATGGCCAAAGGCCACTTTTGTCTCCTCTGTGGAAGCAAAGGTGGTGGTGGCTGCCAGGCCTGTGCTGGAGTTGGAGGTGCTTCCAGGGAGCAGAGAGGGTGTCAGACACATGGCTGCCCTTCAGCACATGCAGCCTGGACTAGTTGGGTCTCTGAGGTTATCTGCATTGCCAGCCATGGGAACATGCAGAGGCTGCAAATCTGCCTTCAGTTAATTGCTTCTCAGACTCTTCTGATTACCTGCATTGTGGGGCCTTCCTGTGCAAGCAGTTCTGTGATCCCACAGGGAAGTGCATGATGTCTAGGAAGTTCATCCACATGGCCATCTGATCATAGAATGGTTTGACTTGGAAGGGACCTTGAAGATCATCTAGTCCCAACCCCCTGCATGGGCACCTCTCACTAGAATAATGCTGCTCCAAGCCCCATCCAACCTACCCTTGAACACTTCCAGGGGTGAGCCATGATAGTATGGAGAGAGCTGCAGGGCAGGGTGGATGCTGAAGCTGGGAAAATGAGCCATCCATGAGGACACACAGCTTTCTGCAGGCTCCCTTGGTGCCCAGCAGCTCTGAGATGCCTGCAGTCAAGCTGCCTAAAGTACTGAGGCAGACAAGTGTTGTCCACTTCCCTGGATCTCCAGCCTGTTAGGTGCTCTGTCCTGCTGCAGCCTGTGCACAGAGAACATGTGGGAGCAGAGCTCTGCAGAGGGGGGATGTGCTACTCAGGATGGGTGCTGTGCCTTGGGTGCTTGTGTGTTGGTTACCTCGTGTCCTTCAGCATTCCTGGAGGGACACTGCTGCACCAGTGTCACATGCAGGGCTGATTTCTACGTAACTCCTTGCTGATGGGGAGGGACCTCAGGGGAAAATTGTGTCACAAGGATAACTCTGGATGTCCTGGAACATTGAATGGGGTGAAGAGAAACACAAGGAACTACATCATCAGTCATAAAACCCAAAACAAATATGCCCAAATTTTCCATTACATCTAAATAATCTTTCTCTGTTTTCAGACCCCATTGAGCCCTACAGAAGAAAGGGCTAACTGTTCTAGCAGAGGGATATTTTCCTCTCAGAGGAGACAGAAATGGTGCTCAAAAGCTTTTTTGACCCAGTGATTGTGTAGTCTTGTGGCCTCTAAAGAAGCTCCAGTCTCTTCCCAAAGTAGTATCTAGCCAAATTCAATTCACAAGCAGGGTTTTATTGAGTGGTTAGAGGAGAAATGCTGAATGTTTGGGGGGAGAAAACACACTCAAGCATATGCACTTACCCTGCCTGGTCGTGAGGAACGGGCTGTGTGAAGCAGGTTCTGCACCATGACTGTGTGTGTGGCTGGATGGTTCCACAACAGGTCCTGCAACACCCAGATCATGCATTTCTAGGCAGTCCTTAGTCGTTGGCCTCCACCACCTACTGTGATCCATGACACTGCTTCCCCTGGGCACTTCAGGTGAGCTTGTGGACTGTGAGGCACTTCCCAGAGTAGTGGTCATGCAAGGAGGAGTGTAGGTCTGTAGTGTCCCAGAAGGAGGACACACAGAGCTGTACCTGGCCCTGGCACAGCTGCTGCCCCTCCTTTCTGCTCTGTGGAATTGTGGAGAGCCCTCTGGGGAAGCTGTGAGGGGCCACTGGAATTCTCCTCTGCACTTGAAGAATGTACAGATTTTCATGTGCTGCCTGTTGTGTGTGTCACTAAACATGAACTCTGGAGGAAAATGGGTTAGAAAGTGTGAGAACAACTGTGGAAAAAAATCTTTTAGTACATGGGTCATGTCCTGGCTGAAGTTTTTCCTTCTGTTACCATGACAGGTCTGTCAGGCCAGTGGCTGTTCTAGCTGCTGTGTAGATCTGTGGTAGTGAAGGAGTCCTCCTTGGCTGAGGCACTGTGCCAGGAGAAGCTGGGAAGTGTACAACAGGCAGAAGGAAATGGCTAAAACCCAGCCCAGTTGGAGAATCATCTCCTCTGGGAAGCAGCCAGGAGACAGAGAGCCTGAACTTCCAGAGCTGAGCCCCTAAAGCTGCCCAGCAGTGATGGTCACGAGCTGACTTGGTGAAGGCAGATTTAGGAATACAGTTTTGTGGTCCTTATGGTCTCATTTAATTGATTTGGTTTCCATGTACGTTGTCCAGTTCTACCATGCAGGGTGGAATGTCCCTGGCCTGGGGGATAATGGGGTGGCAGGAAACCATGCCGGGTTGATCCCTGAAACCGACATCTGGCTGCCCATCTCACTGCTGCCAAGCGCTCAGAAACAGCCTGCTAAGCAGGACTTGCACTTCTTTTGCAGTGTCTCTCTTTGTCAAGTGGTGGCTTTTGGGGCGGTTACCTCAGTTTTGCCTGAACTCACAGCCAGGGGTTTCTAACTTTTTTTCTCCTTCCTTCCCAGCGGATCGTTGTAAAGAAGTGCAGCAGATCCGAGAGCAGCATCCCAACAAGATCCCGGTGAGTTGTTGTTCTTGCTGTTCTGCCTTAGACTTTGTTGTCCTGACCTGACCTCCCCCAGCCAGCCAGAATCAACACAGACACTCTCCATAAGCCTCCAGTGCCTTGTGCTGCTGAGTAGCAGACCATGCAGCAGTGCAAAATGCAGCCTGCCCTTCCCTTCAGCTTCATGCCTGCTCCACAGTCAAGGAACTGATTTGATCTCAAATCTACTTCCGGGCTAGTGCATCAGGAGAAATCTCTGAAATGGCCTTTGTTATTCTTGTAGTAGCCACCTGACTTTTCCTGGATAGCCTAGTAAGAATTTCTCTGTGTCTGCCCAGAGAATATGTGTGAGATGCTGTTCAGTGTGTTGAGAGCAAAGAGACTCTGGAGGATCATTCCTGGCACAGCCCTTCTGGGCTTTCCCAGAACCTGTTGTTGACATGTGTAGGTGAGACTCCATGAACTGCCTCCAGTTCTTCTTCCCATGTCAGACCTAATATTCTGTCTTGCTCTTTGGCTGTGAGTGTGCTTTTGATTCTCTTTCTGAGAAGCTGGAGAACTTGGAGAAATACTGTGCTTGGGGCTTGCTTGAGTTAGTATTTGCAATTTCATAGCATGGATGGCCAACAAATGGGACGTGTTCCTAGTTCAGCTTGTTCTCAGTGTTGGATGAACATCAGCCTTGTCTATTGCATACAGTTTAGCCTTCAAGGCTTAGTGTCTCAAACTGCTCTTGGCACATACTAGTCCAGTCCTGCCTCTTTCTTAATTTGATTTTAGCTCAGCATGCTCTGGCAAAAAGCCTTCCTTCTCTTCCTTCTCTTCCTCTACCACTGTGGTGTCCATGTGTTGTCAGCTCAGCAGAGCTGCGCTTGCCCCTTGCAGCACACTGAGCACCAGTGTCCATATTGTAGAATCATGGACTGGTTTGGGTTGGAAGGGACCTTAAAGATCATCCAGTTCCAACCCCCTGCATGGGCAGGGACACCTCCCACCAGACCAGGTTGCTCCAAGCCCCATCCAACCTGCTCTTCCACACTTCCAGGGATGGGGCAGCCACAACTTCTCTTGGCAACCTCTTCCAGGGTCTCACCACCCTCACAGTGAGGAATTTCTTCCTAAATCTACACATATCATCTACACATTGCTGACCACTGCTTTTATTCCTGGCATCAGGCTGGCTCTGCATTTCTGCAGAGCTGTGGCAGGGCTCATTGCAGTGCTGCAAGGCTCTAGCAATAAGGCTCTAGAAATAAGTTGTGTATAAAATGCACAGACACGTGTCTCAGGTGCCTGTAGGCAGATGCTTGTTGCCTGGGAAATTAACAGGAGGAGCCAGAGCTCTGCATCCATGTGCAGAATTTTCCCAGCGTTACTGAAACCTGATGGGAGAGCTTCCATGGCTGGAGTCCTCTTTGTGTTGGGGCCAAACACCATGTGCCCCAGGAGAAGGCCTCTGTGTCAGCAGGACCTGGCTGCTGGTGTGGTTGTCTGGGCAGTTGTGGGTGTGCAGGGAGGTTTAGCTGTGGCAGAGACCTGAGCCCTCCCACACCTGCTCCAGTGACCTCTTTGTTCAGTGCCTTATTGTCCTTGGCAGTGACCTGAGTGCCAGCAGTGGGGGCGGATGAGGGCTCAGCTGAAGGCTCAGCTGCTTTGGTTTCCTGGGCTGATGGACATGATGGGGCAGGATACTTTCTAGCTGCAAGTTTTGCTGGATCAGTACAAATCACCAGGAGGAGAGAAGAGCATCTTGGGGTGTCCAGCTGTGTTTATGTCTTTGGTATCTCCACAGACCTGGTCTTGGTTAGACCCAGACACCAAGTTTGAGCTTTCTCTTCTCCTTTACACAGCCATGGTGCTGCAGTCACTGTAGCTTTCAGTGGCAGAGCTGTGAGGAAAGCCCTGTACTGCAGAAGGGGGCAGGGTGTGGGGGGCAGCTGTGGGTCTGAGCAGTGCTGGGCAGGCAGGTGGGCTGCAGCAAGGGCTTGGTCTTCTGTGAAGGGCAGGAATGGTGTTTGACAAGTGACTGGCTTCCCTGGGGAGGCACTTGGAATTACCAAAAGGGTTTGAGCCCAGGGGGAATTAAGGAGAAGATGGCCCAGGTCACACGCCCTTAGGGCTGGCAGAAGTCACAGCAAGCTCTGCTGCAGCTGCTGCCCTCTGCCTGCTTCTCCAGTTTCCACTCAAGGCTCTTGGGTGTGTCCCCTTTTGCTTTGACAGAGGGCCAGGAGGATTTACAGAGTGCACAGCCTGGCTTTGTGCCCAAGGAAGGCATTCCTCTCCTGTTCCAGAGGTGTCTGAGGAGGGGGCTGTGCAACATAGTGCACAGCCTGGCTTTGTGCCCAAGGAAGGGCATTCCTCTCCTGTTCCCTGAGGGTACTTCCAGAGGTGCCTGAGGAGGGGGCTGTGCAACACACATGTGGGGAGAGAGCTGGTGGAGTGTCACTCTGAGGTCACCAGAGACAAAGTAGTAGATAACCTGGACTCTGCCTGAGGTGTGGAGTTTTCTGCTGGTGTTTGAAGGGAAATCACATCCCAGGACACCTCACTGGCACATTTAGTAAGAAGACAGGCAGGAGCCAGGGGCTTCCCAGTGTTTCCCTATCTACCTCACGCCAGGGGCTCCTTTGCTGTTCTTTGCATGCCCCAGAGCTGGCTGCTCTTCCATGGCAGAAGTGCTGCCCACAGGAACACGCAGCTCTCACCGAGAAGGACCTTGGTTGTATTGGCAGTGAGGTGCTGGTCACACTTAGCTCTGCTGGGAAGGAACCTCCAGCTGCAGGGTGGCTTCTCCTCAGGAAGCCAGAGCAAGCAGAGACCTTCCTGCCTTCTCCATGAGACCTCCACCCACAGCCTCAGCAGGTGCTTTAGAAATCATCTTCTGCCCTGTTAGAGGATAGAATGAGCTTATTCCTGCCAATCACCCATGCCTGCTCCTGCCCCAGTGCTGTCTTCTGGAGGGGCCTGCTGAGGAGCAGCTGCCAGCTGTCCTCCAGCTCCAGTGAGCCCTGCAGAGATCACTCTAGCGTCCGTGCTGACAGGGAAGGCTGAGGGTGCAGAGAGGTCTCTGTTGGATTGTCTGATAAAATGTTCACCTGCACACCCTGAGGGGAGCACGGAGGGGCAATGGCAGGGGAGGGAGCTCAAATAGTGCTCTGCCCCAGCACAAGAGTGGACAGAAACCTGAATTACAATCTTGGAAGAAGGAACAACCTTCTCTGGACTCGCTAGAGGGCTGTTCCCAGGAGCTGCAGACCCTGTCCAGGACTGACATGAGTCAAGATGGATCAACACCAGAGCACCTTTTATACTGAAGGGTGTTACTGTATATATTCCCACTAAGGGACCTTCAGCCTGCTCAGCCCAGGGGGGACAGGATGGGGCTGTTGGTGCTGCTGTGTTTGTGTCAGTGCTTGGTGTGTCTGTGTTGATGTGTGGCTGGCTGTGTCCATAGGTGTGTGTGTGTTATGTGTATGTGTTCCTACTGGGAACACGCTGTCAGCCTTGCTTGTTGGATCAGGGGGCATGGAGTGGTGGCAGCCTGGCCTCTGTCCAGCGGCCAGGTCTGTCCAGCCCCAGAACAAGAGTGGAGTTTATAAATGCTGCCCAAGCCTCATCTGTGGTGGCAGCAGGACCCCAGACTCTGCCCTGTCTTTTCCTCGTGCTCAGCTGGTGTTATTTCTGCACTGAGATCTGGTGGGTTCCCACTGCAAGAGCAGGTGTTCCACACTCAGGAACCCCCTGGCCTGAGGCAGCAGCTTGGAAGAGGGACACAAGAAGGGAGGTGGCTTTTTATACCAACCCTGTGGCCACAGGGATGTAATATCAGCGTTTGACCTGCATTTGCATTTCCCTGCAAAGCTGGATGGGACGTTTTGTCCACCAGCCACCTGTTCCATAGCTGGGTTACCCAAAGAGCAGCTCGTGCTCTGGAAACAGAAACTCTTGGAGCTGTTCTCCATGACAGGCCCTCTTGTCTGCTCAGGGCACCAGGCTCCTTAAACAGGCAGAACATCCTTCTCAGCCCATTCTGGGACTAATTGGGAGACTTGTCTTTGTGGGATGGAACTGGCTGGTAATTAGAGACATCTGCCTCTGCTCCTGCTAGATTTAAGTTGAGAGAAGGGGCCCAGCCCAGGTGTCCAGGGCCCTCTCTGCATGTGCACGTAGGTGCACACACAGGTGCTGGGAAGCTGCCTCTTTGTGCAAACTGCTTGGGTTAGAAACCCAAGGTCTTGCTGTTGCCTCTGTGTTTCCCAGTGGCCCGAGCAGCATCCCTGGATGTGGCTGTTTCAAGTGTCCAGCCCCTTGAGACTTATCATCTCCCTACAGCCAAGACCTTCATCTGCCCAAGTGAGACTCATATTAAATACAGTAGGATGGTTCTGCTTGTCTTTGCCCTTCCCATTCCCTCCTCCTGGAGGGATAAAGGGACATTAGCAGGTTGGTAAAGGTCATCTTGATGCATGATTTAGTCTGTTGCAGAAGACTGTTCTTTCATCAAGTCCCCCCATTTTGCAAAAGGGGTGAATACCTGGCTTTGACACTCTCACTCAGACATGACAAATGTAAGAATGCACTGGTGGATTTATTCCTGGGGCCTTCACATGCTGCTTGTCAGGCCCTCGGGCTCCTGGGTTCCCCTTGTGTGAGCCTTGTCCAGGATGGGCTCTGCAGAGCTCCCACCAAGGCACCTCACACCCCTCCCTCAGCCAGGAAATGCCCACACCACCAGCTTGGCCCATCCTGCTGGCTCTCGAGAGAAGCCCTGCAGCCTGTGGGACTCCTCAGGCAATCCCACCTCACTGGTGGTACCACAGCATCCCAACCAGGTGGGCTGTGGTGTGGACAGGCAGCAGAAGCTCCACACCTGTGCTGATGGAGGCTACTGGGTCAGCAAATGCTGAGGGGCCAAGTCAGCGTTCCGGGGAGGTTCACGGGATCCTTTTGGCTCCACAGAGCCATCTCCTGGGAATCCTCATCTCTGCATGCTGCTCCATCCCTCCGCTGCCCAAAGGCACTGGCAGTCTCCTGTGTATTTTGTGAGAAGACCCAGCAAAATGATTTATGGGAACTCCTTGCCTTGCAGTCAAAAATTATGTTCAGTCTCACCTCCAAGAGGGTGATGAACTGATGAGTATACAAGTGTCTGTGGAGAAAACAGCTGGGTCCTGGAGAGGTGGGAGAGTCAGGGTATCCCTGTCATGGGAATGTAGGGGGCTTTGTAAGTACTGTCATTACTCAATCCAGCTGCCCACCACCTTGTTCCTTGGAATACAAATCACACACTCCCAGGCTGGTTTAGAACAGCAGCTGTAGCTGTCAGCAGACACTCCTGAACAGAAGTTCATTCATTACACTAGGAAAACTGCACAGAAATCAGTGTTTAGGCATTTCAGACTGTAGGTGTGGTAAGAGCTTTCCCAAGCAAGATTTTCTGCAGGAGAGGACAGGGTGGGCTGTCCCCATGGTGGCATTGTGCTGAAGTACCCTGATGACACCCAAAGTGACCAGTGGTTTCTGATCCTTTTTGGAGTTGGTTTGTGCAAGTGTTAAGATGAGGAGTGGGACTGGCCAAGTCCAAGCTCCCTCTGTCTGAAGGAATGCCTGGGGTGGCTTTGCAGTCAGTTCTAGAACCTGTTTCTTTGGGACCAGCTCTCCAGGAGCAAGCAGGGTGATGCTGAATGGCAGCAGCTCAGACCTGTGGCACGAAAGGAAGGAAGATGCCTCTTGTTGTGCACCTTGAGTTCAGGCCTTGGCTCAAGCCAGCAAAACTTGTGGGTTTGCTGGGTCTGAAAGCCATGTTCAAATACATTTCACTCCTCTTCCGTCAGGGATGGTGGCTCAATCCATCTCCTAATGCCTCTGGGTTCTCAGCCAGCCAGAGCAACTGGTGCTTCAGTTCCCTTGTCCTGGATGGTCTCTCCCGTCTGGCTCAGGCAGAGGAGTCTGCTGAAGAGCTGCAGCCAACCTGATGGTCACTGCTCAGGCCTTTTGCTTGGTTTTCCAGGGAGGCTGAAGCAAAGTGGGGCCTCACCTCAACTGTTCCACTTGTGCTAGTTGGATTTGTGCTTGACCTTGGGGCACTGGAAACTGAGCCTCACCCTACCGTGGGCTTTCTCCCCAGGTCATCATTGAGCGCTATAAAGGGGAGAAGCAGCTGCCAGTGCTGGACAAGACCAAGTTCCTCGTCCCAGACCACGTCAACATGAGTGAATTGGTCAAAATAATCCGGTGAGTGGGGTGGCCCTGCCTGGCATGCTGTGAACCTGTCCTCCCCACAGGCCCTGCTGATGGGGGGAGGCAGAGGCAGGTGCTGAGGGTGGGGATGGGGACATGGAACCACAGCATCCATGTCTTGTGCTACAGACTGTCCGGGGGGTTGGGAGGTGGAGGCAGATGCTCAGCATCTAGTGAAGGACTGTAACCTCTGTCTCACGGGGACTCCATGAGCTGATGAGGGGGTCTTTCATCCTTCAGCTCAGGTGGAAGAGGTCCCTCTGCTGTGCCCTTGCCAGCAGCACTTGGAGAAAAGGATTTTGCCATGTCCCAACTCAGAGAATCATAGAATGCCAGGTTGGAAGGGACCTCAAGGATCATCTGGTCCAACCTTTAGATTCAGGGGGCCTTGGAGCCTCGCGCACCTCAGCAGGGCTCAGACACCATGTCCTGAGCCTGTGGAAGGAGGTCCCAGCTGCTCAGGCCTGGCCCCATGTGAGCAGCAGTGCTGGGGAGGTAGAACCTGCTGTGCCAGTGCCTGCCCAGCTGGGCTGACCCAGGCCCCCCTGTCCTTGTCCCCACAGGCGCCGCTTGCAGCTGAATCCCACCCAGGCTTTCTTCCTGCTGGTGAACCAGCACAGCATGGTGAGCGTGTCCACCCCCATCTCGGAGATCTACGAGCAGGAGAAGGATGAGGATGGCTTCCTCTACATGGTCTATGCTTCCCAGGAGACCTTTGGCTACTGAGGCAGCTGAGAGGGGCCATGTGGAGACAGATGAACTGTGGTGCACGGGCCCCCGGCCTGGCAAGACAACACAACCAGAGGCTGAGGAGAGGGGGACTGTGCTGACCCCCTTTCTCATCCTCCCTCCCTCTTTCCTTCTCAGCCCATTCTGGGACCAAGTGGGAGGCTTTTCTTTCCACGCCAGGGGCCTTGGCTCCCCCGTCCCCCGGTCTCGGGGTCCCCTCCAGCTGCTCTCGCTGTGCTCTGTGTCCCCTGCTTGCAGCCCCTGCCAGAGCGCTCCGGCCGGGGGGAGAGGACAGGGCACTGGCACCTGCAGCACCGGGAGAGCCTCTCCTGCCAGGCACTGGGAAAGGGCAGGGCTGCCAGAGCAGCAAACAGAGGTTACCACTGCTCCTGAGTTTTAATTGCTTTTAATTACACCCATATCAGATTCTTGGTGCTACTGAGTAGGTGTAGGCGTCTCTGTAGGACTGTGGATAATGTAGATCCTTCAGATTTACTTGATGGGTTGTTTTTTTTGTTGTTTGGGTTGGTCTTCTTTTTAGGGATAGATTGGAAGGGGGAGGGGGGAATCTTTCCTGTGTTCTGTAGGTCAAGAAATCAGGCTTCATTGCACTTTAAAGCCTCGTAGATGTCAGAGTGGAATTTACTGTTAATTGATACAGGTTTGCCATGTAGAGTGCTGCTCCTCTGTTGGCAGGTGTACCTAGATTGTCTTGGGTTCTTTTTTCTTTTTTTTTAGTAAAACTGATTTCCCTTCTCTCTGTTTCCCCACTGCATGCAACTTTTCAGTCTCAGTGTGCAGAGTTGGCTCAAGGAATGTACTGATTTCTATTGGTGATGTTCCCATTCCTGTTTCTCATGTATTATACCAAAATAATGTATATGATAAATCCCACCCAGTTTAATCTATACAAAGGTCTATATATAAAAATATATATATAAAACAAACATGAATTCGTGTCTTGTAGGAGTGTTCTGTCCCCATGTCATTTGTCTGTGTTAATGTCCCCAGGGCCAAGGAAGAGTGATGCATGTTCCCCATGGTCACTGGTGCAGTGACACCTGCCCGGGCTGTGGATGGAGCTGGTCAGTCCAACCATGGCAAACAGGCCTGGCTGGGGAGTAGGGGCTGAGGCCAACGGGGCAGCTCAGTTGAGAGGACAGAGCACTGGGTACTGAGGTGGGAAACACGGTTACCCACAGCTCTGCAAGCACCGCCTGTACTCGAAGCACATGCAGAGAGAGCTTGGGTCTGAAAACATCGATAAATCTCTTTACAAAGCTCAGGAGAAGAAACTAGAAACCTTCCTCTTCTACTCCAGGCCCTCAAAGCTGCATCTGCATCAGCCCTGGCAGAAAAGCAAGTGCCAGGGCTGTTTGGGGAACAGGCAGCGGCTCTGGGAGCAGAGCTGGGGCCTCCCGAGCTGCCCCAGCAGCAGCTGCTGCTTGAGGTTGGGGTCCCTGCTGGGACCATCAGATCTGCTGCAGCCCTGGGCCGTGCTGGGCAGGGCAGGAGCTGAGCCCCGGGCTGGGAGCAGGGGCAGCCTTGGGCTGCCCTGGGAAATGGCTCCTCCCTAAAGCAGAGAGTGCTCAGGGCAGCCTGGGGGTGGCAGCTGGGCCTCAGCACAAGGGGACAGGGCCCCGTGTCAGTGGAGCAGGACACTCCATCTCCCAAGATGACTGCCTCAGTTTCCCTCTGTGATTCAACTGCTTTTTGTCTCTCAGTTTTGCAGGCCCAGGCCTGAAGTGGAAGATTCCCATGAGGAGGGAAAGGCCCAGCAAACTCTGAGCTGGTGACAACCTTGAAAGGTGCAGAGGCCAAGTTGATGTTCATCACACCAGCTGCTCTCCGGTGTTGAAGAACATGGAGAACCAGCTGCAGGCGGGGCAGGGGGGGAGATGTTAACTCTTGCACTGTTTTTATCAGTCAACTTGACATTAAGTCATTTGTATCATTAAGCTTAAAGAATCCTCTAAAATGGATCGTTCATGTTCTAGGCCTACTTGATAAGACTTGATAAGTAAGCTGCTAGCATTGTAATGGTTAACCTTGATAGGTTATAACCTTCTCTAATGATAAGTAGTCAAAGTCACTGTGAAGAAACTCTTTGCATTCCAACTTGAGCTTCTGCTCCCATCTCCCAGTTTCCCTGCTTGTGCCTTCTGCTTTAAGGACTTAAGACCCCAGTGCTATATGCAATCAATCTTGATGTGTGCAGATACAGCTCATCTGCCATCCCCTCCCACCCGCGACAAGGAGGGAAGAAGATGGGACAGACGAGGGCCCAGACACAGGAGGGCCTGTCTTGGATGAAGGAG